CGGGGGGGCATTTGGGTGGCCTCCTGGGGCCGCTTGGGGGCCTCTTGGGGGCCTCCTGAGGGCCTGTTGGGGGCCTCTTGGGGCCTCTTAGGGGCCTCTTGGGGCCTCCTGGGGACTTCTGAGGGCCGAGGGCTCGAAATATTGTTTCGTGTTCCCCCCCTGGGGTCCCTCTTGGGGCGTTCTTGGGGCCCTCTTGGGCCGTCTTGGAGGCCTCTTGGGCCGTCTTGGAGCCCTCTTGGGCCGTCTTGGGGCCCTCTTGGGGGCCTCTTGGGCCCTCTTGGGGCGGTCTTGGGGGCCTCTTGGGCCGTCTTGGGGTGTCGTGAAGCCGAAAAGGTGGAAACGCCAAAATCTCTCCAAAACCTAAGGAAAAGCAGTGAATTTTGCCTCTTGGGGCCCTCTCGGGAGTGCTCTTGGAGGCCTCTTGGGGCGTCTGGGGGCCATCGTGGGCGTCTTGGAGCGATCTTGTGGCATCTCGGACCCTCTAGCATCTTGGGGGCCTCTTGGAAGCCTCTTGGCCCTTCTTGGGGCTCTCGGGGACGTCTCGGAGCCGCGTTGGTGCGCTGCTGGAGCGCCCTGGTGACTCCTCCCGGGACTCTCTCGGGACCTTGCCGGGGTATTTTCCGCCCGGGGGCCCCCAGGGGCCGCCCCGCGCGCGCGAAGTAGAAAGATTGTAAAGCAGTCACCGGAGATCTTAGCACGCCTCTGGCCCGTTGGGCCGGCGAATTTGCCAAGGGGAGTAGTTTCGGGGCCCGAACACAACATCAGTTGCAAAGGATCGTGGCTTCGGGGGCGCGGCTCAGGCGTAATTTACGTGGGACCGTCGCCCCGGAGTCACGAATTTGGTGTCAGTTCTGTGGGCTCGTGGCCTCGGGGGCGCGAATATTTCGTGAGTGATGGTTTCGCTGGGTCTTGCAAATATACGAAAGATCATTGTTTCGGGGCCGCGAATCTGGTGTAACTTAGCACAAATCATGGCAGCGGGGGGCGCGAGGCGTCTTTGAAAAGGATCATGGCATCGGGGGCCGGGACCTTTGGACTTTACAGAGGTCGGATGCGCCGTTCTCAACGGATCATGGCCGCGGGGGCGCGAAATTTGCATAATTGATTCCGGATCGCGGCATCGGGGTCGCGAGTCTTGCATAAGTTGTAAGGAATGTCGCGAATCTCACGTGTTTTCCCGTGTTCAGGGCCCAACGAGGAATTTTGAAAACATTGGGATGGTCGTAGTAGCACGGGTGGTTTTCGACCCCTTTTCGCGTGTTTCCACTGCATTGGAATTGCCAGTGGGGTCGAGAGGCTCAGAATTGGTACCTGCGTTGTTGAAATCAGATCTTCGCAGGCGGGTGGCCCCACAAGGGGGCCGGCAGATCTATCAGTTTCGTGCACTATTTTAGCTTATGCTGGATCATAGTTGCTATGTGTTGGTGTGTTCGTGGCGAGCGAGGAGGATAAAGGAGGAAGAGGCATTTCGATTGCTTCTTGGAGCACTCTTGGGGCCAGACGGGATCGTGGACAAGACGCCTCTTGGACACAGTTATCGATGTGTTTCGGGAGGCGTCACGGAGCCTTGTTGGTGGTATTGGAATCCTCCTGAGGCTTGTCGGGGCAGCATTTGGGGTCTCAGCGGGCCTCCTGGTGACGATTCGGTTTCCGAACGTTCCCGTTTTTGTTCTTTCGTCTATTCCCAACCATCTTGTGGTGTTCGGTCCTCGTTTTGAAGAGACAACGCCCCGCGTTCTCCATCCTCCGTCCTTCCTCCTCCCCTCCTCCTTCCTCCCCCTCCTTGCTTCTGACCTCCAATACAGCGCTTCGTGGCCCCAGGGGGAGCTCCTCCGAAGGTCCCAGTGGCGCAGTCCGCACGCGGTTCCCCCATCCAATACAGCGTTTTCGTGACCCCAGAGAGAACTTCACCGATGGCCCCAGTGGCGCAGTCCGCATGCGATTCCCCCACACAGTACAGCGCTTCGTGGCCCCAAAGGGAGCTTCACCGAAGGTCCCAGTGACGAAGTCCGCATGCAGTGCACCCGCCCAGTACAGCGCTTCGAGGCCCCAAAGGGAGCTCCACCGAAGATCCCAGTGGCGCAGTTCGCATGCATCTCCCCCTCCCAGTACAGCGCTTCGTGGCCCCAGAGGGAGCTCCACCGAGGCTCCCAGCGGCGCAGTCCGCATGCGGTTCTCCCACAGAGTACAGCGCTTCGTGGCCCCAGAGGGAGCTCCACCGAAGGTCCCAGTGGCGCAGTTCGCACGCGTCTCCCCCACCCAGTACAGCGCGTCGTGGCCCCAAAGGGAGCTCCACCGAAGCTCGCAGTGACGAAGTCCGCATGCGCTTCCTCCGCCCAATACAGCGCTTCGTGGCCCCATAGGGGACTCCACCAAAGGTCCCACTGGCGCAGTCCGCATGCGATTCTCCCACCCAGTACAGCGCTTCGTCGCCCTATAGGAAGCTCCACCGAAGGTCCCAGTGGCGCAGTCCGCATGCGGTTCTCCCACCCAGCACATCGCTTCGTGACCCTCTAGGAAGCTCCACCGAAGGTCCCAGTGGCGCACTTCGCATGCGGTTCCCCCACCCAGTACAGCGATCTGTGGCCCCAAAGGGAGCTCCTCCGAAGCTCCCAGTGCCGCAGTTCGCATGCGGTTCCCCCGCCCGGTACAGCGCTGCGTGGCCGCAGAGGGAGCTCCACCGAAGGTCCCAGTGGCGCAGTTCGCATGCGGTTCCCCCACACAGTACAGCGCTTCGTGGCCCCATAGGGAGCTCCACCGAAGGTCCCAGTGGCGGAACTCGCGAGCGCCTCTTACGGCAAGCACAGCGTTTCGTGGCCCCAGAGGAGGCCCCACCGAAGGTCCAAATGACGGAATTCGCATGCTGTTTCTGCGCCCAGTACAGCGTTTTTTGGCCCAATATGGAGGTCAATCGAAGGTCCCAGTGGCGGAATTTGCATGCGACCCCCCCGCCCAATACAATGTTCCGTGGTCCCATAGGGAGCTCCACCAATGGCTTCAGTGGCGGAATTCGCATGCGGTTCCTACGCCCAGCACAGCGCTTCGTGACCCCAGAGGGAGCTCCACAGAAGACGATACCCACAAATGCGGTATTTTCATTTGCATATGGTTGGGTTGTTCGCCAGGCGAATTCTGAAAGGGGTTTTTGAAATTCGATAGCATCTGATAAATTAGTGCGCGCGCGTCGTATCATTTGCATTGGATGAAGGGGGAGGACCCGCCCTGGCCAGGATGGTATGAGTTCATTTTTGGAGAGAAGAATGGGACAGAACCAGATTACACTGCGCATCCCCAGGGGAACAAATAATTTTGGGAAGGGGGTGGTACTTCTCAAGTCTTTGTTAGATAGGGAGTATATATGTGGTCCAATGTGGTCTACTTTTGCGACGCCAGGTCGAGGCGGCGACGAGGATGCGACGGCGACAACATAGCAGCCGAACCGCCACATCGTCCCGGACGACGGGCGGCGGCGACGAGGCGGCGACGGGACGGCGATGGTGATGGTGATGCCACACCAGCGTGGCGGGCAGCGACGAAGCGGCGACGGGGCCGCGACGGCGACAACATAGCCGCCAGGCCGCCACACTGGGCCACACCGGCCCAGACGACGGGCGGCGACGGGGCGGCGATGGCGACAACATAGCCGCCAAACCGCCACACCAGCCCAGATCCTCAGAACAGAACTGAGACCCAAGCGCCGTTTGGGAAAAGAAAAAATTGCCAACAAAAACAACTTGGTTGCGCAACTGCCCAAGAAAATTTCATGTGTGATACGCACACAGTAAGAATGAACGCACACATCCCCCACACACAATGAATATGAATGTCCAGCCCTACAAAAAGAGTTGATGTTTAATGCACACAGGAAGAATCAACTTGCAAATCGCCCACAACAGAGTAAATTTGGACTGGCAGCTGGAAGAACTTGGGAGGAGGACCCCCCAACAAAAAACAACAGAATTTTCCTGGCGAAGGACTCAACCATACACAGTTGTGAACACCGTCGTTGTATGCGTCCCATTCGGAGGAACTCCCTTTTGGGCCACGAAACGTGTGAGGCGTGTGCCAAAATGTGCGCGTTGAGCGCATGCGAAAGCAGCCATTGGGGCCGTCACTGGGGCCGTCGGTGGAATTCTTTTGGGAGCCACGAAACGCGTGAGCACTGGGGCCGTCGGTGGAGCTCCGTATGGGACCACGAAGCGTCTGAGGGGTGTGCCCAAATGGGCTCGGTGGGCGCATGCGAGCGCAGCCATTGGGGCACGCAGTGGAACTCCTTGTGGGGCCCCGAAACGTCTGCGGGGTGTACAAAATTGGGCGCGGTGGGCCCACGCGGACGCAGGCACTGGGGCCGCTGGTGGAGCTCCCTACGGAACCACGAATAGTGTGAGGTGTCTGCTAGAATGGGTGCGGCGGGCGCATGCGAACGCAGCCATCGGGGGCCGTCGGTGCAGCTTCCTATGGAGCCACGAAACTTGTGAGGTCAGTGCCAAAATTTGCGCGGTGGGCGCATGCGAACGCTGGAAGAGGCCGTCGGTGGAGCTCCGTATGGGGCCACGAAACGTGTGAGGGGTGTGTGCCGAAACAGACACATGCGGAGGGCAGAGGCAAGGATGGGAGTAGGGAGGAGGGGGAGGAGGAACGAAGAAGTGAGTGGCGCGGGGCGCTGTCTCTTCAAAACGAGGACCCAACACCACAGGCTGGTTGGGAAATATTCAGATGAAACTGAAACTGTTGTTTTGGTGTCCCAGTTGTTTGTTGTTTCGTTTATGGCGGGAGGAGGCGGAGGGGAGAAATGCAAAGCAAAAGTAATCGGATTCATCATATGGTCACATACATACACACATGCATGCATACATACAGGCATACATGCATGCATGCATGCATGCATGCATACATACATCGTCGTTTGAAAGCACAAGTGACGCGCCTGATCTTCCGTGGGGTCGCCGCACCGATGTTTCCCGTCGACGTACTTGCTCAAATTTTGTTGGGGCCGGCAGGCGCCCGTGGTTCAGAGTCTCGCTCTCGCCCCCCACCCCATCTTCTTGCGATTTCCACGAGATTGCGTATCGTAGCGCTGCAGCTGCGGAGGCAACGGACGACGACCACATCTTTGGCTCCAGATTTGGCGGACGGCGCTTGGCGGTGGCGGCGGTGTACCAGTCCAAGTGGCGTCAGTTACCCTCGACCGTGCGGAGTTCGACCGGCTAGGAGGTGCAACCCAGCTTGGGCCAGCAGGCGCGGCCCTCGTCGTCCTACGGGGGCGCCCCAGCCTCTGGCCCGCGCGAGCGCGCGGCGGCTGCCCTCGTACTTCCTGTGGCCCCGAGCCCGTCGACGACCAGCATCACTGAGAAGGCTGTCTACGTCCACAGTTTCCTCTCCACCCTCGTGGGCTTGGACGTGGTCGACATCGACCTCGACGGTAGCGTCGCCCAGCTCAGGAGCAGCGTGCCCTTGGCCACCAACACGGACGCGAGGGACGTCGTGTTCGGGCTCGGGTCCGTGATTTTGTTGGACATTGGTGCCAGCCTGCGCGCGGCCGGGCTGAGTGACGGCTGCGACGCGGTGCGTGCGTGGTGAGATGGAAAAGGAGCGAGATCGTGAGTTTGATTGTGACGGTGACGAGGCGTCCGAACCTGACCAGGTTTTCGGCGAGGTGGTTGGCAACGGGATGTAGTCGGAGCCCCTGATCGGGGTCTGTCTGCCTCAATGGGCGGCTGCTGGCTCGGGGCGCGTCAACCTTCTGATCTGACGAGCCTCGGAATCCAGTCTCTGGGTCAACGCCCGACTCGGGCGCCGAGATCGACGCGGTAGTAAGAGTCCATAAACCAGCGCAGGCCGCCGTGGAGCAGCAGACACTGGAGGCAGCAGTTGCTTTGATGACGGTCCTTGGCGGCGAGGTGGCGCCTCCAGCCCACATCGCGTGGATCGAGGCAGCCTTGCCCTCGCTGGCCCAGGTAGCTCGCGACTTCCCCGTGGCCTTCTGGTCGGCCTCCATGGCCGCGCGGCCCGACGCTGGCCCGGCGAGCCGGGAGGAGGCTGCCAGCGAGCTCCCCGCCACAGCAGGCGCCCATCTTGCGGGCGTGGGCGGGCTCAGCTCTGGTCCCAACTTGCCCAAGAGGCCGCCGCCGGCGCTGCCGCCAGCGCGGCTTCGCCACGAGAGCGGACCGCCGCCGCCGCCCCTGGCCGAGTGGCAGGGCCGTGAGAGAGGCGCGTCGGCTGCCCAGGGAGGAGCTCCAGCGCCGGCTAGACCTTGCCCGCAGCCAGGAGTCGGCTTTGCAGCGCGAGTTGGGTCGGCCCCCAGCCTCGATCGACGAGATGATGACGATGGAACCGGTGTTGGCGGCGCCGCTGTCCAATCAACCGGACATCATTGGCGTCGCGTTTTTCGAGGCGGAGCCCAGCGGCCAGGATAGGAGCGGCGCCAATGACCCCGCGGGCCCGCCGACGCAGGAGTGATGGCCCTGGCTGGCGGCGGGAATTGGTTTCCCGCCTCTGGAGGCCAAGACCATGCACGCGCGGGGGCCGACACGGCGCGCGCTGGGCGCAGCGTCGCCGAGAGTTGCGTCGCCCGGCAGCCCTGGGCGTAGGCCTGCCCGCCTGGCGCCCTTCAGCAGGGCCAGCAGCGGGGACGCAGGGCTTCCCCCGCCGCTGCGGACACTTGCCCGGCGGGCCTGCCGCCCCACTGAGCGAGGCCTTGAACGAGTCTGCCAGCGTGACTTGTTCCCTCTGCCCGCCCTGGAGCGGGTGTCAATTTTGCCAAGTATCTCCGAATCGGCGCCCAAGGGCGTCGACGTGCTGAATGATACGCATGGCAGCTTTGGTCCCAGATCTGGCGTTTGCCTCAATGAAGGTCAGCTTCTGGCCTTGGGACACGTCCGCCACAGCTATCGGCGCGCTGGGCCACCTCCCCGAGATCTTGATCCAGGACAGGGAGCCCTCAGCGCGATCCTGTCAGGCGCGCCCGGCCACACCAGTGGCGGCGGGCCCCTCGCCCCCCACGACGGCGACCAGATCGCCTGGACTTCCACCTCCAGCCAGCCCGTTTTGTTGACCGACTTGCTGGAAGATGTGGGCCCTTCGTGGCATACGGACTGGAAAGAGCAGATGCTACGACCGCCCCAGGCCACTCGATGCCTCCGCGCAGAAGCGTGCCCCCCGGGCCCATACGTCGACCCAGCGCTTAAGCACAACGTGAGTACGCCACTTCTCGCAGAGAGGCCTGGCTATGTTGGGTGTTGACCCGTTCATGTCGATTGTGTACGACACATAAGATGTTGCATGCGAGTTACATTAGCAACTTTCCTGGGGGCGGTTAAAAATTCTGTGGCCAATATGCGCATACAGAGAAAGACATGGATATATGAGGTAGAATGGCATGAAATTCAATGAACACATAGACTCAGGCTTATATATACATAGATAGATGGTTACAATAGACCCGCAACACAAACACACACACACACACACACACACACATAGATCAATATCTAAACACACAAACCCACACACATGAAAGAAATGGTCACTTCCCGGGGCGTCCTCCACCTTGCTCACATCTCGTGTACGCCCCCGGTAATGACCGCGTATCCTGGCCTCCCGAGAAGCCCCCACAATGCCCAAAGACAGCCCAAGACGACCCCAAGAAGCCCCCACAACGTAAAAGAATTGCCCAAGACGTTCCCAGGCAACCCAGGATAGGTTTCGGGCGGCTCTCCAGGCTCCCAGGAGTCTTCCAAGAGACCGCAACAGAGCTCCGAGAGGCTTCCCGAGAGCGCCGAGGGAACCTAAAATCGTTAATTGTCTAGCTAATTCAAAAGGTTGTGAGCCTTCTAACCATTCCATTATTCCAACGCTCCAAAACGGTGGAAGAGGCCCCCACCACCGCCCAACGGGTTTCCAAGACGGCCCCAAGGCGGTTCCAAGACTGCCGCCGAAGCGCCCCGGATAGCTCCAGACCGCCCCAGGACAGGTCCAAGATGAGTCCAATAGAAGGAGCAGGAGGCCGCCAGACACTTCCGAGAGGACTCTGGGACCCCCCAGAGGCCTCCAACACACCCCAGACCCTTGAGAGGCCCCCGAAAAAGTTCCAACGATGCCCCCCAAACAGCGCCAGAGAGCTTCGAGAGCCGTCCCGAAAGAGCCCGAAGAAGGTAAAATCGTTGATTGCCAGTGGTTTTTGTCTCTGTCTTTTGCTTGTTCACGTTGTCCCGCCTCCAACGCTCCAAGTCCAAGGAATGTGGGGAAAAAAAGGAATTCCAGAGATGCTTGTTTTTTTCAAGTTGGGACTTATACTCATGATCCTCTTCCTCGAGCCCCTTTTCAGGACTGCGGGGTCGCATGCAAAAATGTTTCGGGAATGCTGTTGAACTCTTTGACGCTGTCTTGGCATTCTCTTGGATCGTCTTCGCGCCCTCTTGGCCCCCCCTGAAACCATTGTAGAAATGTAGATCCCATGACCCCATGAGTTGAAGCAGTGGAGTTTTAGAAATCCCTCTTTTCAAATTGATCCCCTATTTGTTTTTGCGCGAAGACCCCGAGATGCATCCCACGTAGAAAACGTTCAACCCACAGCCCAGGCACTACAACTTGAAAAAAGGGAAATGCCACCAATCCGCTGTTTTTCCCAAGTTCGCCCCTCTGTCTCTTCTTGCACAACAGACCACAATGAACGCCCCAGAAAAGAACCCAGGAAGCCTTCGAGGGCCCCAAATCGTTGAATACGTAACGGCAATTAATGATGTGTGCGTTTCCGCCGCTCCCTTTCTATACGGTTGCGAGGCCTGCGCAGGGCCTCCAGGAGAGTCTCTGGATGCAAGAAACGACAAGGAGACATATGCTTATGTATATGTTTCTGTATGTGTATGTGGAGTTGTACTTGTATATGTGCGGTATGTAAATGTATATGTAAATGAATATGTAAATGCTATGTAAAATTCAATGTAAATGTCTATTCATTTGTTTACATACACGTGTTTATTATATGTTTGTGTATGTGTACATGTACATGTATAGTACGGGAATATGAATATGTTTATGTATGCGTACATGTAAATGTATACGTATATGCATACGTGTGTATATATTTATATATATACTATATGTGACAAAGCTTGCTGATTAATGATATGCAGAAGGCCGAAACACGCCGTCACCGATCCATAGTTTTTTCCTGGCTCGAGCCCCTCCGCGGGGCGGAGGAGAAACGGGCCGGGGCGGCCCCTTGATGCTGGCTCATCTTGCCCAGGCCGCCGCGTTGGGGGCGGCCAACCTGGGCGGCGCGCGGCTGGGGAAGTGCCAGCCCCCGCCGTGCCCGGCAGCGCCTCCGTGCCCAGCGGCGGCGGCCTGCCAGTGCCCGCCGGCGCCAGCTCTCACTTGCCCGCAGGTGAGCGTCACCTGCCCGGCAGCGGCGGCTGCGGAGGCCCTCACCTGCCCGGCGGTGCCGCCAGCGCCGCCGCGCCCGCCGGCCCCCGCGCGCCCTCCGCGCGACGGGGCGAGCGCGGGCGCGCCTGAGGGGGAGGGCCGGCACGATTGCTGGCCCGAGACGCGGGTGGCGCTGAGCTTCGCGTGCGCGCTCGGCGGGCTGGCGGTCCTGGTCGGGTTCGTGCTGGGGACGTGCTGCGCGAGACGCCATGCAGCAGCCTCGACGCAATCCCCAGGGTGCTCTTCACCTGGCCGGCCGCAGCTGCCTGGTGAACTACGGGGCCCCCGAGTGGCACTGGCGGATAGTGCTCGCAGGTCTGGTGTCCTCGGACTCCCAGGCCTTGATATTGACGCTGGATGGTGACGTGTACATCGAGGACTTCAATGAGGCCGTTGCGGTGCGATGGCTGGGGCCCAACAATGAGGTCCCTGAAGGAGCCCCTCGGCAGCTGATCTACCACTTCGGGGAGTTCCCGTCGACGGCCACCCTCCGCCGGCTCATGCAGGAGGGCGCCTACACCGCCGGCCTGGAGGACCAGCGTCGCGGGTTCGGCGTGGCAGTCTGGGGCGCTGGGGGCGCCGCGGATGCTGCAGCTGCTGGGGCGGCCGCGGGCCCTGGCGGCGGCGCCGGCCGCGTGGCGGCGGGAGCTCCCGCTTTCGCGCCCGCGCAGCCGCCGGCGCCAGGGGCCCCCGGCGGCGGGGAGGACGATGGCCCAGGCCCGGCAGCCCTCCAGGGGCGGATGGGCGCGGGCTGGGACTTCAGGCCTCCCGCGCGGCCGACCGCGCACCCGGTGTCCGTCCACACGGTCCGCCGGGTGGCCGCCGAGAGCGTCGAGCACCTTGGCGGGGGCGTGATCCGCGGCGACGACGTGGCCTTCAACGGCTCCGAGCTCGTGGCGGGCCGCAAGGGGGTGATCGCGCTGATGGGCGAGTCCGCGCTGATCGAGGACATCGGCGACGGGGACGTCGAGGCCTATAGGTCGAAGGAGGCCCACCATGACGCGAGGCTGCTCAAGCTGCAGAGGGGCTCGCGAGGGGCTCGGCACCGGCCATGGCGCGACGTGGCTCGCGACGCGAGCGCGGCGAAGCAGGGCGACTGGCCGGTGCCGGGCCCCCAGACGGGGGAGTGGTGCACGCAGTTCTTCGACCGCCGCTGCGAGGGCCCCGTCGACTGGGATCGGCGCTGGCGGGCGGACAATCGACTCAGCCTCGACCAGTGGGGCGTGTCGGAGCACGAGACGCTGGCGAAGATCCTGGAGCGCCTCGGGACCCACGACCAGTGCGACGTCGTGAACTTGGCGAGTGCCGAGGACATCCTGAGGCGCATGCAGCTCATCGAGTACTTCTACTGCGAGGTCGGCCGGCAGGCGGAGACCGGCAAGCAGCAGGACAAGAAGGGCGGCACGGGCGCCCGCGTGGAGGAGATGGCGATCTTCAGCGGGAAGCACCGCGAGTACGGAGAGGTGATGGTGGCCCCCGAGCTGTTGTCGCACGTGGCAACCGAGCTGGAGCGAGACTCCGGCATCATGAAGCAGATGAGGAAGGCCCGCGAGGAGACGCGCCTCGCGGGCAAACATGACCAGTGAAGGGCGCCGCCGCGGGAGCCCCCGATCCCGCGGCGAGTATACAGGGGGGTCGCCGGACATGAGCCCCGGCGTGACCAATGTACGTGGCTCTCATGAGGGGAGGATCGTCAATCGTGATCTTCCCCCTCTTCCTCACCACCGCCTTCCGAGCCTGGACAGCGGCGAGGGTGGCCAGCCAAAGTCTCGTCGGGGCCAACGCCGCCGGGGAGAGCGAGCTCATTGCGAAGACTGGGCTCGCTGCTGCGCCGCCACGCTGAACGAGCTCGACCGAGGGTCCGCTGACCCGCAGCCGCTGGGCCTGCGGGCTAGTGCCGGGCAGGGGCGCAGCTTGGGGATGATCCAGACTGCGGTAGCCGAGCTCGGCCGCCCGCCCGCCGACCTGACGCGCCAGGGAGTCCTAGCGGAGCTCCTGGCTAAGCGCAGCTACACCGGAGAAAAGGTGTCTGTCGC